ATTTTAGTATGTAAATTTATTAAGATTAGGCTATGATGGGGATGGCATATCCTTATAGGATAAAGCCCCTAAATAAAAATCATAAAAAATTCTTTTGTTAAAATGACACGCTTGTCTTCCCATAATTTAAGTGATTAAAACAGCTTTAATGTTGTTTTTATTTTACGTGACGCCATTTTGAAATTTATAATTTTGTAATTTGTAACTTATCACACAAATTATCATTGTATTTATTTATTTATACGTTAAATATTAAAATAATTCAGAGTTTCGTATACCTTTACAAGACATTGAAAATTTGGCGTGTATATTAAAAGGCTGTTCGGTTTTTGAAACGTCTTTTGACACTGATACTCCATCTAGGTATATAATGATCTAAGTAAAAGTGTTTCTATACAAAATTTTGATTATAGAACAAGAATGTATGTATTTCCTATCGATCCAAACTGGGTACATTTTGTGTATTATTTTATTTATTATTTGTATATTTTACATCACATGCCTTAGTATTCTAATATTGTGAACCTTTCAATTAATATTTAAATAAAAAAAAAATATCATTGTACCAATAGAATACTCAGTTACATTGTATGTAGTTCAATCTTAGTGTTTCAATTTTACAAACCTGTGTCAATCGAATTTCAACTTTAAAATAACCTATCACGAATATTTTTGTTTTACTTCACAATACCTTACGATATTAATTCCGTTGCTAACAATTAAATTTATCCAACTGTGCTTATTACTTTTTTAGTATATACCAAATCGCAAAAGTAACGATTTAAAATATTTTTTCAAACGAAATATTTAGCAACTGAATTAAATATAATCTCTTTTTTTTTAAACTTAGTATAATTTATTAATCTTAGCCAATTTTGTTATAATAAAATATAAAAGATATAAGAATAATAAATATTTATTGGACATAAAAATATACAAAATTGGGCTATAGTAATTTCAAAGTTTAATATACAGGTATAAATTATAATATTACGCCCAGCACATTAGTGTCTAAGCTAGGCCTAGCCTGTATCTTAGACACTAATGCCTTCAATTATATACATATTTACGTGCTAGAGTCATGCTAAAAATGCACCCAAAACGTATCCTAGAGAGAATTCTAATTAGCGCTAATAAAATAGCATACACTTCTGCGGAATCGGCAAACATTGATCATCTTTTTTATTCTATTTTCAATGTGGTGAAATATCTATTTCTGCTATGTCTAGATTCAGAACATTTCATTTATTTAATTTATTTTGATTTTTATATTAAAGAAAAAACCAACAGCTAGAAAATTAAAAAAAAAGTGAAGACAACCGACTTCAAAAGAAGGAGGTCCACAATTCGGCTGTATTTTTTTCAAATATTTGTTACCTCATAACTCCGTCAGTTGTAAACCGATTTCAAATATTCTTTTTTTTATCTGAAAGAATATACTTATAGTCCCAGAGAAATTTTATCAAAATCGATTCAATAGTTTAGTTTTTAAATCAATATAACTGGTTTTACCACAATTGAAGTCGGTTTTTTAACACAACCCTAATTATTTCAATTCTTTTCTGGGCATATAATGTATCCTCCAACATATATTTTTATCGAATTAAGTCATTTAAAAATAAACCAAAAATAATAAAATGGCAATTAATTAATTAAATAAGAAACTTTTATAATTCAGCTATTTGTTTATTTAATATTATTTTCATTTTATAAAAAAAATGCTAAATTTCTACATTAAATAACTCAAGAATATATAAGAAAAAATTTCAAAAATCAAATTACCTGTAGCAAGCTGATTACATTACTGTTTACTTTCTTTGTATTTACAAAAATTATTACCTAGCCTTTGTTTTATCGTCACAGTTATGAAACTACAGATTATCTATAGACTGGATTCTTCTAGAATATAACTGGTAATAATCTATTATAAGCCAGATCTTCTAAACTCCGATTCGCTAATAGAAATAGGAATCCCAACATTGAAAATGTCTAGGAACTGCTGTTCTATATAACACTATATTATTTTACTTATACTATATATTTATTTTAATATATTACCCAGCTATGGCCAGTTTCAATTATTTTTATTGTATAACATTTCACCTTAGATTATACACATAGTGTGTCTCCATACAAATACTTATAGAAAAAGGAATCAACTTTTTTAAACAACTTTATGTGATAAATGGTTATGTGTGATTCCTTTATAACTTTTATATTTATTTTGTCTTATAAATTTTACAGCTTTTTAATGCACAAAAGCTTATTTTATTTATTAAATAATTAAATATTGATACGTCCTTATATTGTGTGCGTAAGTATATAGAACACTAATAAAAAAACGAATCAGCTAATTTGACAATTAGTTGACAAAAGTTGCCGTGTTTTTTAAGCTCGATACTCTATCTATATAATCGAAGTATATTACTGAGATATAGTTGATAATTAGAATCATTTGAATGAGTTAAAGGTCCCAAAGTTCTATTAGAATTGGTGGCAACTAGACTGTGTATTTGGCAAGAGAAGGTGAATTAAATGAACTAGTGATTATTATGAAACAAATTCAGTTTCAAACAAAAGTTAACGTCCAGTAGACGATAGGTACGTAGTAAGTTTTCCCCAACCTTGATATTCACTGCCACTCTAAATAAATAGCAAACGAATGTATTGACAAATACGATAAATATCCACCCAATAATGCTATAAGGGTCAACATCTTTTATTGCTTTTATATCTTTTATATGTATTGTTTCTTTGAGAGATACGTTCAATTTCATTGGTGAAATATTGCTGTAAACAGTTGCCATCCCTTCATATTACACCCTTTCAAGTACAAAAGCTAATGGCGCTATATTCTCTTTAAATGTAATAATAATACATTTATTTCACATACATATATAGTTGTATTTTTTTCATGTAACTTTTAGTAAAATTTGTGGAGAAAATAAATAAATAAATAAAAAAAAAATAATTTCAGCACAATATTATATAGACTTAGCATGATCCATAGGATAGGTCGATTCAGTTAAGATCGATTTGGACTGGAGACAAAACTAGGCACGAAGTCTCAGTATTTAATACTCATTTCTCAGCGCGATTCTACTATATCAACATTGAGTTCTGGTTCAATGCACGTTGTGAAAGTTCATGATAATAAACCAAAACAAAAAATAATAATAAATAAACAAACAAGTAACATGTGAAATGTTTCAATGTAGCAGAGGATTCATTTGACATACATTTACACAATTCTAGATTGATTAAAATCTTCTTTAAATCACAGTTGCTGCCAATCGAGTAATTGATATTTCGAAATATAACTGATCAGAGGCTTATTAAATTTGACTGCATTATGATTATTAATCGTATGTCAGTTGTATATATATAAAAAAAATCGATTAATTCCAACCCTATTATATATTACTGTCTATATCTTTGTAGAGTATGATTTGTTAAATTTTTGTAAATTATTTTGCAATAAATTACACTCGCCTTCAGCCATGGTGAAGCTGTTTTCTTTCTGTCTACCTATCTTGATTTTTTTTAAAATATTTTAAAAGAGAAGAAGTATTAATTGAATGTTGAAACAACAAAAGATACAATTTCGAAACTTTAGACACTTCATGGTTTTATGATTGTATGGGTTTATAATGCATAGAGCATTTCCCGATATATATACACTGTCTAAATGTTCGAGTATATATCAACGTATGCATGATATTCGAATTCAATCGATATATTCCGATTATACAAATAAATTAATTAATTTACTAATATCAACCATTAAAAAAGGACATTATGCAGCATCAATAGAGTTTGTACCATTATTACTAAACAACAGATAGACATACCTATTTATATTTTTAATTATATTGATAAAAATTAAATTATTGATATAAACATGCATAGACCTAAATACAAATTCGTTTGTACTCTGCGGGAATAGAACCTGCAATAATCGAACGGCGATACAGTATGTTAAGTCGCTACACTACCAAGGTCAACAATAGTCATCCACCTATTAATACGTCTCGATATAAAATGATCCTGTGCATCTAATGAAAAACAAAACAACCTGGAATATTCATAGAACACGTCATATTATTATGGGAATGGAAGCTTCATTAAAATTTTGGAATAATTAAAAGCAACTATACATTTCAAATGTAAATGGTACACAATCCATTGTGCAGAGCAAATTTTAATATGAGAACGCTGCAGTTGAATGTAATCAATTTATCTGTACAGTGATGATTTTTTTTCTGTGTCAGGTGAGAAACCATCTAAAATTTACTCAAAGACGCCAGGATCACTAATAATAGTACTGATGTCTAAGAAAAATATTAAATTATAAATAATATATTCTCTTCATAAATATTATAAACAATATCTGGAATATTATTAATTTCTATACCACGGTAAAACATTGAAAATGCAATATTTGTAAAAACCGTTTACGTTTAGTATCCAGTCTTTAACATGAAAGGTAACATAGTGTGATTACACAAGGTTGTACATACACAATTATATAACGTGCCTATACAAATACTAATTGCAAATAAATAAATCACGACATAGTACTATCGACAGCGAGAACGAACGCAACACAGCCAGCGATACGTCTTGGACTTTGCTCTAAGAGACATACGCGTTTTTCCAATTCATTACGCGATCAACACTAACTGTTAGAACATCAATTGAACAACTCCAAACAACGTACCAAACGCTAAAGTTTCCATCTCTGGTTACCGTATACTCAGCTTACTTCGTAACAAAACGATCGGCCCGTAGTTTTACGCTGACGCGAAATGCTTACCAAAAATAAATCCATGCTCAATCTTATATTTAGCGCGCTTGCTCGGATCACGACGTGTCGGCCAGTTGAACGGAGATTTTGTACCGATCACAGATCATTTTCTGATTGAAAACAAAAAAACGGCGTGCGTGTGCCCTCTAGGAAACGGTAAAGAACGGGGATGGTGAAGTAAGGGCTCTCGAGGGGAAAGTGGTCCAAACGCTTCAAGGTAATGCCACTGCACTACTCCAAAATAATCTGTTAAACAGTGATCATAGTACATGACTTATTCACACCTATTTCCACACAAGCCCACGCAAACACCGTGTTTTCAGTTGCCGATGCTCACATTGAAACGAAATGTTGTGTTCTTAGTTTAACGGTGAATAAGTGAAAATATTGTTGGGTCCGTGTGGGAACAGACAAAAATTTAAATAATATAAAAGGTGATAAAAAATTATACAAGATAAATCCATGGACGACTGGCAAATCTTTACATTTTATACATAAAAATACTTTAAAAATTATATTAATAAACATATGGAATCTCAATTGTTGCCAGATAAAAAGAAAAGTACACCACCGGTGCCGATAAAAACTTATCAATGGGAAGATTTACGGAGAGCACGTGAAGCGGGTGGATATCCTTGGACCCATCTATTGAAAGCACCTCTAGTCGGCGAGATCACTGCCGAAGATATCATCAGAGAAACAACACCGAGAAGAAGTATGTCTCGCGAAGTTTCAAGATCACGAACTCGTTCACCGGTTGATGGGGATGTACAAAGAATCCTAAATCTTGACTCCTCGCCCGGAAGCAGCCGAAAACATGGTGAGGAAGGCGATGATGAAGGCGTACATGTACCGAACTTTTCAAAAGAGGTTTCATTGGATTCTGAAGATGATGTCATAAGCCAGGCTGTTCAAGCATATATGAATAGTCGACCAGAAAGTCAAGCAAGTTCACATTTAGCAACTCCAGTGGAAATACCTAAGAATGTTTCACCAAAAAGTATATTGAAGCGTCGTGTACCAGAACAAAATTATATTGGTATATCTGAAACTCGTGAAAAGACAAAATGTTGTCATCCTTTAGTAAATAAAATAAAACATTTAGCTGACAAGACTCTTCATAAGTTAGATAGAGGTGAAAATGAGAAATCACCCGTTGCAAAACGAAAGAAAAATGACGATTCTCAAGAGATAAGACAATTAAAATCGTCACCTGGTGCTGTAAGAAGACAAAAATTTAGTGCGATTAAATTAGGAGATTCTGATGAAATGAGTAAAACAATGAGTATAGACACACCGCCACCGAGAAAAAAAAGAGAACACATATACGAAGACATAGCTGAGTCTAAGTCACAAGAAATTGAAAAATCCCTTCATTTTTCACCTGAAGTGGAAAAACAAGACAATAAATCCGAAGAAGATACAAGAAGTAACAGTAATAAAGAAAACGAAAGTCTTTCTGAAAGAAAATCCATTGCATCGCATGACCCCAGCCTAGTAACTGAGAATACTTCTCTAAAATCTGCAGATCACATCATGGAAAAGTTACATAAAAACAATGATATTGACAAAGAAGCAGTACTGTTAGATGAAGAAATGGACCCTGACGAGCCAAACGTCGATGAAATATTTCAAAATCAATTAGAAGAGACGAGACCTAAGAATGATTCACCCAACATAACTATCACTGAAATTATAGACGAGGACATTGAAGTTACTATAGAACAAACTACTACAATTCCTATAGAATCATCACCCACTCCGAGTCCGCGAGATAATAGAGAAAAAAATTTCGAAAGAGAATGGTCTAAACCCAGCAGGTAAATATATTTTTTATTGTGTTCTATTATAGTGTATAAGTATATATCATACGTAAGTGTGACATAACAGCTGTGTTGAAACACATGCAAAGCGAACGCGCTAGTTTCTGACTGCTTGATAAATATAGCACCGTCTGAAACGTCTTCCTGTACATTGGGTAAGCTCTTTAAAATTGTCATCAGTGATCTGCGCTCGCGGCTGCTTTCACGCCAGTGATTAGTTCATTTACTGTCCGGCTTTCACAAACACGTTTTATGACTCATTCTCATTCTGGGTAATTGTCGATTCGACATGTATAGTTTACGGATAACTGGCAATTAAGCATGCCTTGGATTCCGAATTCATTTCGGTAGTCAGCAGTTATGAGTAAACTTCGGCGATGGACATCGGAAGGCGGAACTCCCTTAGAAAAACCTGTGAGACCAACGAGGGAAGGGAGTGCACAACTTTACACGCCGGAAGTACGATGTGCTTGTCAGTTTTTTCAATGTGATTCGCTGCTACCGGAACGAGTCAATCCAGTGGGTACTAGACCTACGTCGCGGGCAAGCAATATAATTTCGTATGACAGGTATGTATAGCCTGCTTTATTTTTAACAATTTAGTTGACGTTTAATAAGAAAAATTATGAGGTGAAGAACACTTTAAACCGCTGTGCCTTCAGCCCGGCGGCTGCTGCGGCTAAAACGAGCACCAACGGTTGGCCTAATTGTGACTCGAATAATTCGTGTGTGAAGTTTAAAAATAACTCAAATGTTCTGTGACGAATTTTGCGAAGTTATTTTTTTATTTCTGTTATTATTATCTTTATGATAACTTTCAGTCATATATATACTTTATATATATAATATATATATATTTATTTATGCACAGCGATGTTTACGTTATTATGATGCATTTGCGAATTTATATACTGTTTATAACTGCCTAATAATTTTAGATAAGTTTATTTTTGTTAATTTAAAATAAGATTATTTCTTGCAGTGATCACGAATATGAAATCATCGAAAAGCCGCCACCCAATATCATTTATACAGCACCAAGCGTGGATGAAAAACCAAAGATGACAAAAACCGACGACGAATTATCTAGTACAACATCATTAGAACGAAAATATTTACAACATACGTCAGATGATGAAGAGCAAATGGATGAAAAAGAAAATTTTCCAGATGAAAATATCGAAAGTATTGTTAATGCCGAAACTCTTCAAAAAAATATTGAAGATCGCTACTTCGCAAATACTCCGTCTACGGTATCTAGAACCGAATGTGAAATAAGTACAAGTCAAGTAGACTCGTCAGCGTTAGAAAATTTACCTTTAAAACGTGATAGCCGGCGCAAAAAAGAAAACACTGACAACAGGATGCAACAACGCATCAAAGAAGGAACAAGTAAAATAAAAACACAAGCTGGTAAAATAAAAACGAAATTACAAAATATAAAAACAAACAAATTTACGATGCCCGAAAGGCCAAAAATAAATTTTCCTGAGCGACCCAAATTCAAAATGCCAGATCGACCCAAAATTTCTTTACCAGAGAGGCCTAAATTTACTTTACCAGAGAGACCAAAATTTACTTTGCCAGATAGAAGAAAATTTAGCTTACCTGATAGACCGAAATTGAAAAAGATTAATTTTACTGAAAAGTTGAGTCTCGGAGATAGAAAGAAATTTACTTTTCCTGAAAGGCCTAAATTTAATGTTCCAGAATTTCCGAAGTTTAAAATGCCTGAAAGACCAAAAATAAATTTTCCAAGCTTAAGCCGGAAAAAAGAATATAAAGTGGAAAATGATCCTACAGAATCAAGTGATGATTTTCATAATGTGGCCACCGTTGATTTTGAAGTTAAAACTTACCCTAGATTATTTAACAGAAAAAAGAAGTCTGAATTACAGAAAACATCATCTTCACCCACATTAAATCGAGAAGATACTCCTCCTGCAACATTTACTTTTACGCGTGTTAACCAAACCAAAGACGTGCCATCCACGTATATTCCAGATAGTCCAGAGCAACCAAGAGAATATGGTAATGTTGATAGTGATGTTAATTTTGAAACGGAAACGGAACCCCAAAGAGAGTTTGATGTTAACTTTAGCTTTAACAAAGATAATTCCAAATACATAGAAAATGAACCTGTATCATTCAGTTATGAAAATGATAATCGTAATGGATCTGTACCAGATTTTTCACCGTCTAACCAAGAATACACACATGTTATTAACGAAATTGATAACGACGAATTTTTTGTTCGACCGAGAGGAATTTCTCGTGAAAATATTCAAGTAAGAGAATATTTGAGCGACGAAATACGACAAGCTTTTAAAATCCCTAAGAATATTCTCGCCTTGATGGGGAGTAATTCGGGGGTTAACGATGAAAATATGTATGTTAATGAACCTGAAGCTGACCCTGAGCTTATGATTGATGACAACGAGCAGATGAGGTATTCAACTGAAGATTTGAATGAAAGGGATGATGGCTACTATACATTCCCGCCAGTGAGGCCGTCGCGAGCTAAGCGAAAGAAAAAAGTACCGGAACCAGAACCAGAGACAATTCAATATATAGATGACAGTGTTAATGCTAGCATGCAATTCAGTGAAGTAGATTTAGGATTACCTGATGATCATCCTGAAGAACAGCACATAAACGAAGACATTGTCAACGGCAATGTGGAAACGATCGAATTAAATAATCGATTAGACTTCACTCCGATAACAGATTTACACTCTATACACGAATATGCAAATGATGACGTAATAGAATATCCAGAGAATACACCAATTCAATCACAAACTCTGCCGATGCCACCGAAAAGGAAAAAGAAGTTCAGCAAAAAGGACTTCAGGCATTCGTCTTTGAATGATTTCAAAGATGTGTCTTCAGCCGCTTCATGGGAAGAACCAAACAAACAGGACGATGTAAGTAGATCTTTATGTACAACTATATTTAATATATTTCTATACTCACATTTTACAATTGATCGGTTTCCAAAATATGAAAAGATTTCAAATTCAAATTAAGATTCAATTCAACTTGTATTAAACTAAAATAACACTTTCATGAACGCTAAACAAAACAATCTCATTATAATTGCAATACAGCGGTAGCGTTAGAAAAAAAATTCCCCAATGAATATTGTGTCATAAAATAATAAAATACCGAGGATTCAAAATTTACTTATTTTGAAATTTTCAAATTTCATGAATTTCCCTCTGAAAAATGTTATTAATTTATAACGAATTTATCTCAATTTGTGAATTCTAAAGTAAAATATGAATACCTTGTATAAAAAATTTGAGACTGACGTACTAAAACATTGCGTATAGCTGTCAATTATTCGTAACTCAAAATACATTGTAATTTTCATAGATGCTTTTTTTGGAAAAACATTCAGTTTTCCCTATAGAACTGCAATAAAGGGATGCTTCATTTCGATTGCATACTGTATGTATAATAAAAATTGCAGTAACATATTTTAAGATGCTTTGAAACAAAATATTTCTCCATAGTATTTCATAAATTTTTAACACAAAATGCCATGTAATAAAAGCATTTATAATTATTTATCTTCAATGAACTGCCATTTACATTAGCTTCGTTTATTATAGAAAATTCTGTTAGCAATTTATTTATTTCTCTCATAAAAATTTTCAACTAAACAGTAACCTATTTAGTTATGTTTTTCTTTTTATACAACTTACAATGGCAAACAATCTGAGGGCCCACCTGATGGAAAGTGGTAACCGTCGCCTATAGACATGAGCAGTACCATGGACATAACAGAGTACACTGTTTCGCTCATGATACCCCCCATGCGTTGCCATTCCTGAGGACTCAGATGTTATTCCTCTGTACCCAGTAAATTCACGCCATATCCCACCCTTCAAACCGAAACACAGCCATGCAAACACAACTGCTTCACGGTAAAAACACGAATGGGACAAAGGTACCCAAGCAATCGACTTTTGTACAAAGTCTCCCTCTGGTTTACATTAGAAAATCAAATACATTCTCACAATTATATTTTAGTAAATGTTAAACGCCAATTTAACAAATATGTTATTTGTACTTTTCATTAACAATTTACAACTTTTTTTTTTCAAATAAACTTATAATTAAATAGATCACAATTACATCAGAAAAACCAATTAATACTCTGAATTCCATTTTACTTATTACTAGATATTACAAACATATGGCTTCAGAGATGTTTTAAGAGGGACGCTGCTGCCCATCCCTCGCCCTCCCTTAGTTGCCTCTTACGACACCCCCAGCAAAGGGGTGGCCTTTTCTATGTCGGCACCACACGGCAAGCCTAACTGCGCTTGCCAATCTGTTTGCCAAACGTGGCAACTACTGGGAAAAGTCTCCAAAAGGGAGGCTTGTATTCAGGAGTGATAATGTTGACAAACATAAGATTGTTTTGAAAAAAATATTTTCAACTATAAAGATCCCTTAATATTGCTAGCAATATATCCTGTCAGGTCGACCTCCACGTGGTCCTCCCTGGAAACCATCATGCCTAATCCCAGGTGTATTCATCACGATGGGCTAACTGACCTGCCTTTTCATTCTCACCTATCATCCCTCTCTAGTGCGTGACCAGCATATATCGTTAGCGCAGGTGAGGTGGCCATTCCATTATCATCCATTAAAAAAAAAATCCCTTAATATATATACAATTGCATCTGCTCTGTATTATGTTCATTCTTTTAATCACTGCGTTGTATAATATAAATGAAAACTAGCTCAGTCATTAATATTTCCGCTTTGCAATGTTCATCATCACCATCACCATTATAAGCCATTATTAGTCCACAGCTGAACATAAATTTCCTCTATACACAGCCATAAGAAGCGATCTCGATTCACCCACATGCAAAGACTCCCTGCGATGCATTTGAGGTCACCGCTCTATCTAGTAGGAGAGGGTGGGGTCAAAGTTCAATGTTACGATTACGTAATGCTCAATTTTAAGATAGGATACGTTGTCGGTGAATCAATGTCATCATCGTCAACTAAGACTTCCATTTAAATATTATTATATTAATACATTGACTTTGTAAATAAAAAGTGTGGAACCAAAGCACAATGGATTTTATATAATCATTAAGGTTATGTACGATTATAAAGTGTAATATTAATGACTTAACTAAAAATCCAAGTGCTATGATTTCATTTCATATGTCTGTCTGACTGTCTGTGTGTCATCTCAGTACGTTACACACCTATTTTGGAGTGTCTCGTACTAGAGTTACAAAGATTTATTTGTGTCGCGACTGAGTTCACGCTAATGAGTTTGCACATTTCCGAAAACATCCGCTAGAGGCGCAGCGGAGTTCTTAAAGACTTTATTTTATTATTAAACTTGCGTTTGTATGTGTTTTTACGTTCATATTTTGCAATTTATTTTTTTAACCACTCCAATTGTGCTCATATTTGGTATACTTATTGAAAGTTCATTGACAAAAGAATATCATCGAAATGACCTGATGATGAAGACGGAAAGTGACCATAAGAATTATCTATGTATAATATAAAATTATTGCTGTATGGTCCCGGCATAGAATGGGCTACCTCTACCTTTCCTATGGCTATCGTAAGAGGAGACTAAGGGAAGGCGAGGGATGGGCAGCAGTGTCCCTTTTAAAACATCTTTACAGCCTAACTACGGTTGTCAAATCGCCTGCCAAGCGTGGCAACTACTGGCAAAGCCCCCAAAGGGGAGGCTTAGGTTCAGCAGTTGACAGTTAAAGGCTGATATTAAGATGATATACGCCATCAGATTCTAATTGAGTAACGATTCAAAGTTCGTTTTATAAAAAAAAAATATAAAAGTTCAAATGATTTATACCCAAAATCATAGTTAATAAAATTATTATTATTATATAGTCATTAATATTGCAGTAATATTGTAAATAATTGACCTAAAAAGACATGGATGGATTGTATGAAAGACGGCATGGCCAGAATGGGAGTGAATGCGGAAATGACTGGGAATAGAAAAGAATGGAAGAGGAAAACATATTACGCCGACCCCAAATGATAGTTGGGATAAAGGTAGGGAGATGATAATGAATTCCCAATAATCACTCTCATTTTGTATTGATTAACACCATATAAATCTGTTGTACAGTATATACGATAAAGTGACATAAATAAAACCATACAAACACCATCACAAGTATTTATATTCCAGACTTCATGTATTTGAGAACATGAACGAATGTTATTGGCTGACTCGAGAAACATGAAGGGCAATAGTTACGTCCATGGTACCGCTCATGTCTATAGGCGACGGTTACCACTTTCCATCAGGTGGGCCGTCAGCTTGTTTGCCATTCTAAGTTGTATAAAAAAAAAACTTAATGGAACTCTAAATAAGATACTGAGATTAACCACAACAATACAATTCTTCAATGACCACGACTGACTCAACAATACACTTATTTACTCAAAATCTACACCAATCAACAGGTGTTTTTTTAATAGATAATAATGGAATGGTAACCCCGCCTGCTCTAACAATATACGCTAGAAGGCACCAGTGAGGGATGATAGGTGAGAATGAAAAGGCAAGTCAGTTAGTCCACACACCTGGAATTCAGCACGATGACTTCCAGGTGAAGCCACAGGGAGGTCGACCTGACAGGACATTTTGCTAGCAACGGGACTGGTGGTCCGCATTACTAATTAACCCTTCCCCCACCAACCAACAAGTCGAACACTTACTGAACAGATCTATGCTGTTTTTTTACAATTAAATAATTGAATACTTGAATTTTTGTTTATTACGTCAAACAATCAAAAATTACAGTTATAAATCATATTACGTATTTTATATAGAATCGTTGCGTAGGTTTGGTACATTTGGATAGGATGGATGAAAGAAGAATTATGAAAGAGATTTATCGAGCAAGAATGAATGGAGATGTAGGTAGGGGCCGCCCTACACGGACGTATGTCGACCAAATAGGCGACGTGCTGAAGAATGGCCAAATTAAAAGTACCCGTAATCAGCGAGCGTGTATGAAAAGATTGATGAATGTGGTAGAAGCGAAAGAGGTTTGTTTGAATCGAAGTGTTTGGCGTTCTATTGTTTCTGCCTACCGTAATGGGAGACAGGCGTGACAGATATGTATGTATGTGTATAGAATAGTTTACCGTCTTCCTTGATCAAAGCGCGTAACAGACGCGGATTAAAGGAGTACGGAATAATACAATTTATTTTTGTGCATAATTGATGTTCCTTTCCACTCTGCATTTGCTGGAAGAGAACTCTTATAGACTTAAGCTCGCCTGTTGGACGACTTTGTTCAAAGTAATTTACAGCAATGTAATCTTTGTGTACAATAAAGTATAAATAATTACAATATGAATAAAGAAATCTTTTGCCACAAGGATCCCTCGTGTAGCTTTCGATACGGAACCCTAATTAGACAATATATAGCAGTAGGGAACTATATAGGGATATATAACAGATCAACGTTTACCAGATTAATACGAGTAACTAGTGTATAAAAATAATTAATTAATCACTATTTCTCTCCTTAAGTTTGTTGAAATTTATTTATTTATATATTTTGGGATTTAGATTGGCTGTTTTTTTTTTAATGGGTGAAAATGGATTGGTAACCCCACCCGCGCTATTGGTATACACCGACGAGGTACCAGTGGAAGATGATAGGTGAGAATGAATGTAGGTCAGTTGGCCCACCATGATGAATTCGACAAGAATTAAACATGATGGTTTCCAGGGGGAACCGCGTGGAGGTCAACCTGAGAGAGTATATTGCCAGTAATGGGGCTATTAGACCCCATTTCTAACAATCCTTTTCCCCCCTAGATTGACTGTTATCCCGGCATAGAATAGGCCACCACTGCCTTTCCAGTAGGTGTTGTAAGAGGCAACTAAGAA